TTTCATCTTCCCCTCTGCCTCTCGCTCTGTCCTCCTCTTCACTAGGTCTCAAATCCATCATGAAGAAAAATGGTGCAGCAGGCAAGCAGGGGAACAAGGGAGCCAAGAAAAACCTGAAGTTTGTGGGGGTGAATGGAGGGTAAAATCTTCTTTTTAGTTATCGTCCAATCTCTTTGTGATTTATATCTTTGTGTGGGCTGAAATGTGTTTTGTGCACTTATATTTTCATGCTTTTGTCAGTCTTCATCCTTATAGGAAAAATAATGTGTTGCCACTTCTGATTAATGTAAAAAAAAATCCCCTTTTATCTTGATTTAGTTCGTTAAAAATATTTGTTATTAGGTTTGATGTGTTACTGTATGCAAAGGGGCTTCAAGTTTGATGGATTACCCACAAATTTCTTTTTCAGTGTTGTGGGTAATCCACATAACCACACATTATGTGAAAAAATTCAGAAAGAGCAAAAGATGCAGTATTGTCTGAGAAATTTGATTTGATGTTATTTGACTTCTTCATCTTTGTGTGTAGAAATCCACAGGCGACAGTTTGGATTTTCATGCAGCTGTATTTCAGGCTACTGTCTGTGCAGCAGTGTTAATCTTAATCTTTTGTCATTTAGCCATGTATGCGTCAGCTTTGTTACTGTTTTAAACTTGGATATTAAGCTGTACTTCAGACATTTGCTTCTTGCTGTTTGTCAGGCTCACTAAAGACTCGTTGTCCTGAATCTGACCTTGCTGCTCCTTCTGCTGGTGTGCTAATATGCCTGCATTAATGTGTGTTTAGATTATGTGATATGCATGCATAGTTTCTGTTGATGGCACCTAGGTGATTGTGCTAGCGTGCTTATGTCAGCATTTGCTGACGCTAGTTGCAGTGTGTGTGTGTGTGTGTGTGTGTGTGTGTGTGTGTGTGTGTGTTTATGAATTTAAAGTATGGGGATGGCAGTGGTTCTCAATTTTTTTTTCTGGCATGGCTCGCACAGTGCAATTTTCTGTTATTAAATCTAAGAAAGGAATTGTATTTTAGTGAAATAAAACTCAGGAGCAGTTCAGTAATTCAGTAAAGTGGTTCTTCTGTCTCAATTAAATAACTTCACTATACTTAAATGTTTTTCAGGCTTTATTGACCTGAAAAATTCTTCATAAAGAATATCTTTACGGTGTCGTCTTTAAGATGCTTTCCCGACTTTGTTGTGCTGCTGCTCAAGTGGTTAGCTGCTAGTGGGAGGGGCTTCTTGTCTAAGCTGCTGTGCTGGTATCAGTATTATTGCAAAGGGGTATTTAATGTGTTAGTAATTTTTTAGCATCGATTAGCATCCACATATCCTGTTCTTTAAACAACTAAACTAACTTTATCTAAACTACTGGAAAAGGGAAAAAAGTACCACTGTGTTTTCAAAGTTTTGTTATTGAGAAGATAAGTATTGGTTCTGGTGATTTACCTACTAATGAGGTAGACAATCACAAAGCAGGAAAACTACAAGATATGAGAAAACTAACCTTCAAAGTAAAATTTGGGCACAAAGACTTGCTATAAAGTTGCATTTGTTCTTAGGTCATGCTTACAGCATTATTTCATATCCTGTTGGGATCGTTTACAATATTTCTCATCACTTACGTAAAAAGTTTCTGTTCTGTTCTGTTAAATTCCTGTCTATTTTAATCTCCTGCATATGACGGAAATGGCTGCCATGCATAGCATTTGTTTTATTCCCGTGTTCCTGCTCTTACATTCCTGGGCTTCACTGTTTTATGACCTGCTCACCTTTGCAGTGTTTTTGCAGACTGTTGTGGTGTAGTCCATTCCTTCCTCCCTTCAACACAATGATCTGCAAACATACCCACATTCAGAAGAACACGTAACAGATTATTTATGGTATTGCAAGAATCTATTCCTTATAAACTTGGACTAATATGTTTAATAAATGAGATTATATAAAACTTTTTGACATCTAGTGTACATCTCTTTTGGTTTCGTTTCAACCTCTATAAATATTTGACCATTTCCATCTTCCGCCCACCCAATTCCGTAATATGCAGATGTTATTTATAATGAGGCAAACATGTCGGGCAACAATATTTTCTCTGACTATCTTTAGGCTTCTGCCCACAGCAGGAAGTGGTCTGCTGTTCATACTTCTTCTCTTTGTATAGTCTAACCTATCTCTGCTCTCCCTTGAGCTCCTCTGGAATCTCGAGAATGCTGTGGCCCCTGAACGTCTCTTGTGGTGTCTCAGTTTGTCTCTGTGTGTCTACAAGAAGTCTGAATCAGTGGTATTCAGAATAACCTTATCTGATCACTGGCCTTACAGAGGTGACTTGATGATGCGCCCCAGTAACCACACTTATATACATGCTACTCCAGCAGCCTCCGCAGCATATCGTTAGCCTTTTCTCAACGAACAAGGTTGTACGTTGTTCAAGGCTGCTTATGTTTGTGCTCAAACATGTCTGTGGCTTTTTATGTATGTTTAAATTATGTTTATGTTAGGATATGAGGGCAAAGCTGCACAAGGCAAACATCTTTTTCATCTCACTTGTGAAGTCTGGAGGGGAATAACCTGTTAGTATTTACCCTGTCTTGCCTGGTGCTGACTTAACATTGACTTAATATTAGTTTTACCTGCTTAGACATTT